GCCGATCGCTTCTGTCCCTTTTCGGCGACAGCTCGTGCCAGGAGCGGCGACCAGTAAGCCTTCCCCCCTCTCTCTTCACCACGCCCGGTCCACTTCCTCCCTCGGCGATGGCATCCAACAATGTGGACAAGATCGGGCAGGGATGTTTGCGCTGAAAAGAGCATGTTGCAAACGTATATTTCAAGTGTTTCAGAGGCATGTTGCAAAGTGTTTTATATCGATGTTGCAAAAGTAGATCGGGATATTGCATATGTTGCAATAGTTATACACATATGTTGCAAACGTTTATTCCAATGTTTCGTTAGTTTTTACAGACATATGTTGCAAGTATGTTTATCTGGTTATTATATATATTTCACATATATGTTGCAACTGTTTTATCTAAATGTTGCGTATGTTTGCAATGGCTCTCAAGTGTTTTCAGGTGGTTTTTTTTAATGTTTCAGACGGATATTTCACATGTTTCATCTGTCTTCAGACGTATGTTGTAAGTGTTATATATTGATGTTTTAAAAGTAGATCGAGTGTTGCACATGTTGCAATGTGACCCGTCGGCTGTAATGCTGCTGGAGAGGGCGCGAGGGGACGGGTGAGGTGCAGACGCTGCTTGGGGTCGGGCGAGGGCGCAAACACCACATGGGCTCGGGTGTGGCGTACACGTCGCGTGGGATCGAGCAATACGTAGAGTGCAGACGCGGAAACAAGGTGACACCCAAACGTTAGCACTACCGTTTCAAAAAAAAAAGTCTCAAGTAATTCCGATCCCAGCCGCGCTTCTAGAACATCACAGCTGTAAAGCAGCTGCATGCATGCTACCTGAAGCTACTCCTATGCTGTACTGTATCTGTCTTCTAGTTCAGGACCCAATATAAAAAAGTAAAAAACGATCTCCTAAATTCCCCTGGGGCTGGCTGGCTGGCGCCCCCTCACAAAAACATTGTTTGGGTGTGTTTAGTTCCTTCCAAATTCCCAACTTTGGCACTATGCAAAAAAAAAAAAATTTCTCGTCACATCAAACTTGCGGTACATGCATGGAGTACTAAATGTTGACGAAATCAAAAACTAATTGCACAGTTTAGTTGTACTTTGCGAGACGAACGTTTTAAGCCTAATTAGTCAACGATTGGATAATTATTACCAAATATAAACGAAATGCTACAGTGCTTCTGGCGGCGCTACAGTGAATTTGCCGGCACAAATTCGGTGCAACTAAACGTGGCCTTTATCTAAATCAGTACTTCTCTCTCACATAAAAGAATCAGCAACGATATGATCCGGCCAACCGAACAGGTGGTTGGGTGACATCATGCCAGTGATTTCACAATGTCATCACCTTGCACTCGCAGAACGCACAGAGAACGCACAGATATTTCTCATCATGCAGAATTAAGCTCATCAGATCAGATCCACCAAGATGATATACATCACATCCACGTCGATCGCAAGGCTGCTAATGCTAGGCTACCGTTAGTAGCTGACTACTCCATGATTGCATTTGCGTGCGTGCATTCGGTTCTTGATCCTCCGGGGGGCCTCCATTTGGCGCCGACCTCGGTCGGGGAGGCTCAAAAACGGCTATTCGGAAAAGGCACGCTCAAAGACGTCGCTCAAGCTGTCCCCCACTTATCTTCATTGAAGGGGTCAGGGGTCTGCATGCATAGCAAAACCCGCCTGATCCAGTAAACCTTCTAGAAGTCATTATTTAGTCGGCTACCACCTTTTTCATTATTAATTTAATTTAGAAATATGAAAGTTACATGTGACGATACATATTCAAAATACTTAAAAAACATCTTATATTTGAAGGATTCTGAAAATATGTTCTAAAATAAATTACTGGTCAAATACATACATCAAAGAATGTGCAAAGTAAAAAATATATCACGACACCAGAACCAAAATTCCTTGAGGGCCAGAAACTGCAAAGTAACATTAAAAACCGCGAAGGAAATCTTTTTTGGAGGGACACCCGTCAAGTAATGGCCACCGCCAAGGTAAATAGGCTAAGCGGGCGTTTGGTTCAGCTCGGAGCTCCTAAATCTAGTCACATTTAGTCATTTTTTACTCAAACACTATAACTAAATGGGACTAAAAGAGCTTTAGTCCTCTCTAGCAACTATGGAGTGACTAAATGAGACTAAACCATTTAGAAGGGACTAAAGTTTAGCAGCCCAAACCGAACACCCCCCAAATAGGGTGATGACACTATCACCAAGGAGAAGAGAATCTTTCTTGAGGAGCAACACTAGCGATGGCACTACTGTTAAGGATATATATTTTCTTGAGGTCACGGGGCCATTGAACTCAGAACCTTAGGTCTTACCCGTTTCTTCCTTATTATTCCATCCCAAAATCACTTGTGACCAAGTGATGAATAATATTTATTTTTATATTCACTTTAGCAAATATTGCAATGAATATAAGCCCCTAAACTGCTTTAGTTTAGGTTGTCCCACCATCCAAGATCGTTAGTTTTTTTTAAAAATAACTTCAGAATATAAGAAGTTAAAACCTAATTTTTTCTCGAACAGCGCAGGAGAACTGCGCGTCATTTCATTAAGGTAAAAGAAATGTTACGAGGGTTAGAGACCCGACACACACCCCAACTCACACACCCCACACCCTAGACACTGAGATACAGACTCGCCACCCAAACATCAAGAACGACCAAAAGCCTCCAAGCATTAAGCTACAGCAGGCAGTGACCTGATAACAAGCTCCTGGAGTTTAGAAGCCCCAGCCGAGCACCAAAGCCCCCCTCCGCGCTAATGGACCTAAGGACCTCCTAAACACTTGGCCTCTTATTATCAAAGACACAAGTGTTGTAGTGCTTCCAAATCTCCAAGCCACCAGGATTATCAAGGAATTGAGGCCTTTATGCGTTTCTTTGGGAACAGCAGCAGTAGACCTCTTCCACCACCCTGAGAAAACGAGTTACAACAGACTGTGGTGCCAAATGTAGCAGCCCAAACTAATGCAAAACCAGGGACCAGACCTGTCGAGCGAAGACACAACCCACTAGCAAATGATTTATTGTTTCATCCTCTTGATCACATAAGGGGCAAGACTCAGGATGGGGCAGATTCCTCTTTGCTAGTCGATCAAATGTCCAAACCCGGTTGTGAAACACCAACCAAATGAAAAACTTACAGCGCGGGGGAGCCCAGGTTTTCCAGATCCTTCTCCACGACCCAAACTTCATGGATCCAAGAGAAAAGGCTGCATAGGCAGACTTGCTACTATAGGAACCATCCTGTGTTAACTTCCAATTATAACTGTCTCGGGATCTCTGGATGCAAAATAATTTCGTCCACCCTATCCCAAATGTGGAGGTAATCAAGCAATACCTCTACTGTATGAGCTCCCCTAATATCTTGAACCCAGCTTCTATTATGCAGAGCTTGGGCCACATTCCTTCTTTTAGCTGTTCATTTTTGAAGCATATTGAACAGGTTAGGCACGATTCCTACCACGGTATGCCCATCCAGCCATCTATCTGTCCAGAACAATATTTCCTCTCCATTTCCAACTATGGCACCAACTGCAACATTAAAGAGGGCCCAATCTTTGTGAGGAATAGCGATAGAAAGACCGGCCCAAGGCCTTTCAGCATTTGTCTTTTGCGCCCACAACCACCGAATCCTAAGTGCCCAACCAAGGAGCTAAAGATTATGGATCCCAAGGCCTCCATATTCAACTGGTCTCTTTACCTTTTCCCAGGCTACCAGGCAATTGCCTCCATTGGCATGTTGGTGACCCTTCCAAAGGAAGCCCCGCCATTTTTTGTCAATAGCCTTAAGCACCCATTTAGGAAGGTCCAGGGCTATTAAGATATATATAGGGACAACAGTCAGCACAACTTTCACCATGACTAACCGCCCAACCCTGTTCATTAGAGAGGCCTTCCAACCAGGGAGATATTCTGACACCTTATCTACTAAAGGCAACAACACCTCCTTAGTTGGTTTTCTAAGTGAGAGTGGGAGGCCAAGGTACGTACAGGGGAAGGCCTTTATTGAACAAGAGAGGACGCTTGCAGTGAGTGCCAATTCCTCATCAGTACAATAAATAGGGGAAACCAAACTCTTGGACAAGTTGGTTCTAAGACCGGAGGCGTGTCCAAACAATTCTAGGAGCTATCTGACAGTGACCAGATCCAAGTTGTGGGGTCTCAAGAATATGACTGCATCATCAACATAGCAGGAGACCCTATGCCGTGCTTACTGAATGGCTAGCGGCTGCATCAAACCCGCCAGAGTAGCAAAATTGACCAGGGAATTGAGGACATCCATAACGAGGATAAACAACATTGGTGACAGGGGGTCTCCCTGTCTAAGACCACGGTGATGCAAAATAGTGTCTCCAGGCACTCCATTAACCAGTACTTGTGTCGAGGAGGTGGACATGATCAAGCAAATAAGGTCTCGCCACCGCTGACCGAACCCTACCTTGCACATGACTTCCAGGAGAAACGAGCAAGAGACAGAATCAAACGCCTTGGAGATGTCTAGTTTAAGAAGGATATGCGCCTCCTTCTTCTTATGTAGAGATTTCACCATCTGTTGGACCAGCATAAAGTTGTCATGAATCTTCCTTCCCCGCACGAAAGCGCTTTGGTTTGCAGAGATTAAGGAAGGTAACAGTGGAGCTAGCCGATTAGCCAAAATCTTAGTCACCAACTTGGCAAAGCTATGAATCAGGCTTATAGGACGAAAATCCTTCACTTCAACTGCATTTACTTTCTTAGCAGTAGGGTAACATAGGCCGTATTCAATAGCCTAAATTTGAATACATGGCCACGATGGATGGCATCAGCCTTAATAATGCTCCAACATGATTTGTAGAACCTCCTTGTGAAACCATCCGGCCTAGGGGCCTTGTCCAGGTGCATATCTTTTATGGTAGCCCAGACTTCCTCCTCAGAGAATGGGGCATCAAGATCGGAAAGATCATGGTGTTGCATATCTAACTCATCTAAGTTAAGAGTATAGTCTCTTACTTCAGCACTGCCAAAGAATGTTCTCATAAAAATCATCCACTGCCTTATGTTTTTCCTCCTGCGAAACGACCACCTGATTACCAACTTGCAGTTTTGGGATGAAGTTCTTCTTCTTTCTGTATCTAGCTTGTTGATGGAATAAAACAGTATTGGCATCTCCTTCTTGAAGATACAATATCCTAGAGTGCAGCCGTGCAATGGTTCGCTCTAGAGAAGCCAAACCGAGACAATGCAGTTTGAGTTTCTTTCTCAGCAATTCCTCGCGCTCAGAGAGTGCCCTTGAATCTCTCTCTATTTCCAAGCGGTGAAGAATCTCCCTGGCCAGCTCAAGCTGAGCTTTAATGTTCCCTATTTTTCGCTGCCCCCATTTTTGTAGTCCCTTACTGAGGCGATGTAGTTCAATGAATAGGCGCTCTATAACACAATTAGATTGTACCGGAACCTCCCAATTCAGTTTAACAACATCGAGAAAACCAGGGATTTTGGTCCAGAAGCTCTCAAAATGGAATCGCCACTTGCTGCTAGTGCTCACTTTCAAACCCAGAATGAGAGGGCAGTGATCCGATACACCAGCTGCTGTGCTTTGCAGGACATCATCAGGAAAAATATTGTCCCAATCACCACAACAGAAAGCTTGATCCAGCCTGACTAGAGTAGGCGATCTCCTCTCGTTGGACCAAGTATATTTTTGGCCCAAGAGTGGGATCTCCTTGAGATCCATGTCATCTAGAAAATGCCGAAATCTTCCCATGATTGCTCTATCCAAATTAGCATTGTTCTTGCCAGCAGCTTGATAAATTAAATTAAAATCTCCCCCTAGAAGCCAAGCTCCATTGCACAGGGCCCTGATATTTCTTAGCTCTTGCAGAAACATCACCTTCTCATCATCTTCTTGTGGCCCATAGACACCAGTGAACCACTAATTGCGACCTTCTTGTTTCAAAAATAGAATAGAAGCAGAATAAGTATCTACCCTAGAAGCCACTGCCAGGCAAGAACACCCTTTCCAAGCAATCAGAACCTCTCCTCTAGTCCCATTGGCTGGGAGCGCGATGAAGTTATCATACACAGACCCAAAGACCGAGAGAAACAAATGTTGGGACATGTTGGCAACCTTAGTTTCTTGCAAACAGACAATGTCAGCGTTGCTGGACAGAATGACCTCTCTGACAGAATTTCGATGATCCCTTTGATTCAGGCCTCGCACATTCCAGATTAAAGTAGTCGAAGGATTCATCTGACCCAAGAAATAAAATGACCTCGACAAAGAAGCCCGCATCTGCTCACCTTCTCCAACATCCCAACCAAAAATAGCAGCTAAAGCACAAACATGAGAGTCAGAGAGAAAAGGCCTGAATAGCTTACTATAATTGTCTTGAGCATTCGGCTGAATAATCTCCCTTTCTTCAAAGCCAAGTCGTCGCATCACCCTCTTATGAGCCTCCGAGAGCACCGGGCCTGGAGGGCAGGGGGCAGCGCCAGCGACCCATCGGCTATGCCGCGGCAGAGACCCTGAAGGAGGGGCCTTCTTTCGCCACTTTTGGATCACGGGCAGAGGGACGAGCATATCCACTGGCCTGCGCACCTTCTCAAGCTTCCGTGATGGGGATCCCTCCCCCAGACACGGGGAGGAGCTGTCCACGGTGGCGGGGGCGGGAGTTCTAGCACGACATCATTGCATGGAATAGACTCGGAGCGGGGGCGAGACAAAGACCTCATCCAGCGGTACTTGGAGAGTTTGAGCGGGTGGCAGGATAGGCTCGGGCAGAGCAAGCACCTCCGAGCCCTCGGAATCCCCACCTGTAGCCGGTGGAGCAGGCGCCTCTGAGCCCAGGGGCTCCCCAATCGGGCCATCAGAAGCCGACGAGTGACAGGTCTCGTGCCAAATGTTGGCGAGGGGGGGTTTGGCGCCGGTGGGAAGAACCCCGGGAAGACGAACGCGGGAGATCATTGAGGCGAGCGTGGTGAGGTCGGAGAAGCTTCAACCATTGCCAATCCAACGGGGAGGCTCAAGGAAGAGCACGGCACTGTCGGCCGCCCGGGGGAGCTCCAGACCGTATCCTCACCCAATCCAGTGCACGCCAATTGGGAATCAATCATAGGCCGAGGGCCCAAGTCCAGCCCAAGAGAAGCCGCATCCGCTGGGCCAGAAATGAGGACGCCATCCGAAGGCAAAGGCCCAACATCCACTTCAAACCGCACAATAGTTGGGGAGGCCACCGAGGGGAACGGGGACGTCTCCTAAATGCACGCGACATCTGCGGTTTCAAAAACGACTGCATTTGTTGTAGCCGCCGCATCAGGCACAGGGACATCCTCGGGACTGCGCGTCTTAGTATTGGGGGCAGAACGACCGTCGCCTGGAATGTCACGCACCTGGACCTCTTTGGAACCCGCGGCCAACGGCTAAGAGCACGCTGCCTAAGAGTGGGCCACGTGAGATCTCCCCCGAACAAAGGATTCCACTTGCTTCATGATCGATCCCCGCCGTGAACCGCCATGACACGAGCATCACGACCCGCCGGACCCGAGTTGGGTAGCGGCGAGGGAGGACGGACGCGACGCCGACGCCTTGCAGGATCATTATCATCATCATCCCCTCCATCAGAGGGAGGAGGGCTTGGCGCCAAAACCTCAGGGCGGTGAACATCGGAATACTGCAGCTCAATAGGGTAGGCCAGAACCCTTTTGACAAGAGGATCCTCCTGTCAAAACTTTATAGCTAACGATATTTCCATTTGAGATCTCAAATGAAAATATTGTTAGCTATAAAGTTTTAGATCTCGTTGAGCCAGACTACATCTACTAAGTGTGATATGTAAGGTTTGTATTCATCTTGATTTGAAAAAGTTATGAATTTTTTGGTGTTGCTCCTATTTTTAGAGCTAGGCCGTATTTGCTTAAGTGTGATATATGTATTTAAGTGAACTTAATAAGGCTTAGTATCATATGTGTGACATGTGTTTAAATGAACTTAACCAAGTTTAGAGTCTTATGTGTGCTAGTGAACTTAACAAGACAAACACTTCATTAACAATGATAGAACAAGTATGTCATGTTTAAATACTAACAATCATTTCGTTGGCTTCTAATAGCAAAACAAATTGCATAACCCCCAAGAAAATGTTGATTTTCCTTAACAGTCCAAATACCAGCCAAGAAAATGTTAATTTTCCTTGGCGGTTAAGGAAAAACACCCAAGGAAATGGTATTTTCCTTGAAGTTTTATAATAACATTCAAGGAAATTATTATTTCATTAGCTTTAACACTAATATTAAAGAAAATGGTTCTTGTGCTTAGCGATTTCCAAATAACACTAAAAAATGCACGTTTCCTTGGCGGTGCAATTCACCCGCCAAGGAATATACAACTCCTTGGAGGTTTTCTGCAACCACCAAGGAAATGATATATCCCTTGACAGCTAGACTTTGGCGCTCAAGAAAATCTAGGGCGGCCAAGTAGTAGTGTGTCAAGGAGGTGCTCCTTTGGTTCCATAATTCTTGACGTTTCAACAAGGTTGATGTCTAACTTTTAGAATTTTGGTCATCAATAACTTTAAAACATTTGGTTTCAAGACAAAAAAAAATTAGTTTTAAAAGTACTTTAATGAAAAATTATACTTACTGACTTTTTCATACGTTATTGTAGAAAATCATGGTAAAAGGCTAAAAGCTATGTTCTGGAGACGGCGCATTTGTCCAGAGCTACAAGAATTAGGAAACCGGAGGAGTATTAACATTTGGTACAAACTCTTGCACTCTTTTTCTCTCATCCGTGTCCTGAGCATCTCCTAAGTCAGATCCCTCCGGTGTGACATTGCCATAGTGAGACGTTCCCTCGTAAATTCATGTACTGTTAGCCCATAGACCCCACAAAGATTCTGCTAGGAAAGAAAGGACGTCATAAAATGTTAATTATTGGATAATGCAAAAAATGGCACTCAAAACCCTTCACTGACCATTTAATATATATATATATATATATATATATATGCTTCATCAATCCTCTATTTACCCAAGTCCAATCTGAAAATATCGTCAATCCATTTGAGTAACGTGTTATTCTGCTGATGATTTCTGTAGCTGATAAGACGACTGATGCTGATTTGTTGTGAGAGAAAAATACTGTTGCATTGCTGATAAGCAGTTCAAGGGAACAGGGTGAAGTCTCATCAATCAGGTGTGATCATAAACGCAAATTTGTGAATCAAACAAGAATATCTCACTCCCTTATAAAAAAAACAAAGAGAACATCTCACTCCACTATTATTTTCCCTCACTTTTTGGGAAAAAAAACTGTTTTTATACATACTATAAAAAATATGCTACTTTTACTCAAGACATCAACCTAGCACTCATCAAATCCTAAACCAAATTTGTCCTCGCTCTCACCCTCCCTCTACTTAAACCCGCCAAACCCCTTCACAGACATCACACATCACAAGAAACAAGAAGCCGTGTAAAGGGGTGCACACACACAGCCCAGCACAGCACTGAGCACTGCACTGCGGTTCTCCATGGGCGCCGTCAAGCAAGAGGTTGAGGGCGTGTACGCAGCCACTGCGGTAGCACGCTACTGCTACGGCTGCAAGGACAAGAAGCAAGAACGTGCCATGGCGATGGAAGCAGAGGAAGACGGAGAGGGGGAGCTCATCCCTGGGTTGCCCGACGACGTGGCCATGGAGTGCCTGGCGCGGGTGCCGAGCCGGTCGCACCACCGCATGCGCCGCGTGTGCCGCGGATGGCGCGGCACCGTCGGGTCAGCCGAGTTCCGGCGCCGCCGGAGGGCCGCCAGGGCGTCGGAGGACATCGTGTTCCTCGTCCAGACCGCGCCCGCGCGCGGCGACGGAAAGGGGTCGACGCCGGAATGCTCGCTGGCAGCGGCGAACCTCACCACCGGCGAGTGGCGGCGCGTGAACTGGCCGGCCGAGGCCTGGGGACCCGTCCCGCTCTTCGCGCAGTGCGCGGCGGCCGGCGACGGGCGGCATGTCGCCGTCGTGGGGGGCTGGGACCCGGACACGCTCCGCCCGACCAGCGACGTCCGCTTGCTGGACGTCCCCGCCGGCACGTGGCGGCGCGGCCCGAGGATGCCGGACAGCCGGAGCTTCTTTGGGTGCGCTGGGGGCGACGGAAACGTCTACATCGCCGGCGGCCACGACGAGTGCAAGAACGCGCTCCGCTCCGCCTTTGCGTACAGCGTCGCGGCCGACGACGCCTGGCGCGCGCTCCCGGACATGTCCGAGGAGCGCGACGAGCCGCAGCTCGTGGCGACCCCGGGCCGCCGCGTCCTCCTCGCCGCCAGCGGCTACCCAACCGAGGCCCAGGGCGCGTTCAGGAACACCGCCGAGTGCTACCACGCCGGAGGCGACGCCGACGCGTGGACCAGCGAGGGCGACGTGATCCCCGGCGGCGACACGGCCGGGAAGACGTGCCTGGCGTCGGTGCGCGGGACGGTGTGGGCCGTCGGGGCCGGGAAGGACGGCGTGCGGGAGTGGGACGGCGAGGCGCGCGCGTGGAGGGACGTGGCCGACGGGCCGCCGGGCATGAAGGCATGCGTGAAGGCGGTTGGCGTTGGTAACGGCGAGGCCGTGTTCGTGTTCGGCACAGTGGCCGACGCGGCGGCGGAGGGCGACAAGTACTCTGTGTGGGTGATGGAAGCGAGCGGCGGTGCATGGAAGCGAGTGCCCGTGCCGTCAGAGTTCGGCGGGTTCGTTTACTCAGCCGCGGCCGTGTCTATTTAGGTGTTGAGAGCTTACTATTTTATTTATATATAAAAAACGGGCGCTTTTTGAAAGTGGCGCTTAATTACACTTGTCATTTGGCGAAGCAAGTCTTGTTTTCTAATAATTCGAGTGTCAGCTCACTGTTTGAATGTCGTTTCTTAAGATTCAATTTCCTGACAGTGTACCTCTTTCCATTTTTTAGTCGAGAATTGCTATTTCAGCATAAAAGTCGTCTTGCTTTTTAAGACAAGGTGCATGCCCTGAAATCTCAAAAGCCAAATCAGGACGACCAGACCGAGAACGATGCTTCATGCCAATGGTCTCTGAAATCACAAAATTATTTGCATTTTGCAGAGGAAATCCTGTACTCGTTATTACAGAAGTAACCGGAACAACTCCAAATGCAGGTTCCTAGGAAGAGGAAGGGGCGTCTGGTTGCCTGCCAGGGAGCGCTGCTACAAATGCAGGGTGTGCCATATACTCCGAGTGAAGCCTAGCAAGCGTGGGGTAATTTGACTGCGGCAAAGAAGCACGTTTCATTAGCGGTTCTTTGATTGAAAAAATGGAGACAATGATTTACATTTGTATGGTAAGAGGAAAGTGGTACCATGTCAATTTTAGTGCGTTCAATGGCTGCATAGATCTGGGGTGCAAGGAATACATCTGCCTGCATGTGAAGAAATGAAAAGACAATTGAATCAATTGGTAGCGGGTCTACTGGCAATAAACCCAGTATTTGTAAACAAATCTATAACAGACAGAAGGGCAAGTTGATAAATAGCGGGTTTGTTGGCCCCAAAGAACACATTCTAGTTTCAATTCTGCATAAATACTCCAGGAATTTGTATCATAATGCATTGCCATTCTACTAGGAGCTTTATAGTTTCAGAGACAACTGTACAAAAGTAACAAAACGTGCATAATGGGTTCTTAAAAAAAACTTATCCTTATGTTCATTTTGAGTTAATAGCCCATAATCGCATACCCTCTCCTTTAGAATAAGCATGGAATAACACTGTCATCTTAAACTTTCAGAAAACCATAAAAAATTTACTTTTCTTGAGAATAGAGCAAAATTGCTGATGCTGCTTCAATTTTTTTTTTCCAATTCAGTTGTTTTCCCTTCACACACACATCACCAGTGAGTGCTAGATTGCCAAAAGAACAGTAGGGTTAAATCAATATGATACCAGTTCATTCCAGAACAGCTACAAAGGAAAATTCACAACAATGGGAAAAGAACCCATTCTAAAAGAAGGGTGACAAATGGAGTATCTGGCAAGCAAACGTACCAGTTGGACTTCATCTCCTGTCGCATACTTCCCAGCACAGCCTTTTAGTTGTATTAGGTTCTCAATAGCTAAACCATTAGGGAAAATGAGCACGTCACAAAATAGTAAACACGCACAAAAGCGATACATGTTAAACAAAACGAAAATAAGTTGAGCAACAGTATATTCAGTAACTAAACTAAGAGAACTATGAGTGAATTTCTATAATGATGTAATACAACAGAATTGCACGGCGAGCAATATTTTCTTGAAGCAAATTTTGCTTGATCGAAGTAATGCAGCAAAAGTAGTAGTTATTTCAATCAGTAAAGGATGGTTATGTGTGTCAAACAACCTGTGAAACCTTTCTCGATTTGTTGTTGAGTCCACAAGACACTCTCCCCTGCACCAACCCTTTGGTCAATGAACCTCTGCAAATATGGAAGCAATGGATCAAATAATGTCCCCATAGAGTAACTTTGCATTTGATTTTCTTCTATTTGAGTGTGCTCTTTCCCCTATGTTACACAGCAGTGATTGAGCTGAAACTTCTGTAAAAATTGGCTGTGTGCAGCTGCAGAAACTAGAATTGCCCTTTTTTCTTGAAAAAAGTAGGTTATATTCTTTAAACAAACTGTACATATATTTTACAAACAAGTTGTCTCAACATGGAATCAATCTGCAGAAAAGAAATTGTATAATTGCACAATGCAGGCGGGGAACTGGGAATCCTTTTTCACTCTGACTAACCACATATGCCAAGAAATAAAGTACAGTATACTTACCAACACTGTGAGGTTATGGAGAGGTTGAATACCAGAAGCTACAATGCTTGCAATCTGCCATAGAAAGATAGAAAAGTTCATGTTAAGCATGATGAATTGGTGGTTAAGAAAAACAAAACGAGAAAAAACCAATGCTTGCAATCTGCCATAGAAAGATAGAAAAGTTCATGTTAAGCATGATGAGTTGGTAGTTAAGAAAAAAAAAACATACATCACATGTTCCAGACTCTGGTTAGACCTTCGCACCTTGCTAAACTATATGGGTTTGCGCTGCACGCGGATGGTAATTTGCAATCCACTGTAATGGTAATGGGCAATCTTAACCAAAAGGAAATGAGTGGTACATGAAAATGCCTGTTTCAAAGTGGCATGACTGTTGACAGTGTCGGAGCTCGGAAAATCTTTTAGGAGGGGCTAATTTGCCTTATGGAGATCAACATGTACAGAAATGATAGAGCAATTAGTCACTAACTGCAAGTTTGATGCTAATTAACACCTCAAATACCTAATAAAAAATAACAATGACACCGTGTTAAGTACAAATTACCATTTAAATAGTCACTTCTGTTATACTGTATAGGCTATACAGCGAATAGCTATACAGATTAGTATGGAAATTGGAAAAAAAAATAGCAATTGAATATTGATTATTAGCCAGGGGGGGGGGGGGGGGCATGTTAGCCTAGCCTTAGCTCCGCCAATGACTGTTAATGCTGAGCTGTGGAAATAAAGAACAGGAACACAGTTAGTTCTGAATGTGTATAATATCATGTACCTGAATTTCATTGTGTCCTGTGCTGTAGCAGCCTGTGTGCTGCCTGACAACAACTTTGCCATGCGGAAAACCTGAAGGAGCTGCACATGCGCATGGATTCCAGTAACTCCAGCCGTAATTGTTTTACTTGTGCTTTATCTCTAGCATTTATACTCTTTATCATTTAGCTGCTTAGATTGTTTGTTGAGTCCTTATCCACTCCGTACATGTACAGCACAGGCCATAATGAATTTCATGATATTATACGCATTTGGAAATAACAATGTCATGTTCTGTATTTCCACATGCTCAGCATTAACAGTCATGTCACTTTGAAATAGGCATTTTCATTTACCACTCATTTCCTTTTGGGCAAGATTATTTGAACCATTACAGTGGGTTGGAAACTACCATCCATTGCATCACTAGCATGTGGACTAACGCCACATGTAGGCTCACGATGAACCTATTACTAATTTTTCCATATCTGCAATTGAATTAAGCTACTGATTTATTCCCCATTTACCCCCTTTGTTGTGCTACTTATTTAGTGGTTTCGTCAACTAAAATTAGTCTGCCTATGGAAGGGTGCAGTATTTCCATAAGTCTGGATTGGAGTATAAAAGAAGCAAAGTCTTTCGGAAAGGCATGAAACACCCCAAAAAAGCAACTCGTACACAAATTGCATAATTACTATATAACATGCCACTTTATTATGTCTTGTCTGCATAATGCCAAATTATTATTTTATCCTCACAGTAATAATGTTCTGTCCTGAACTTCCACCAGCTAGTTTGAGCAGTCACGTCACCTTCAACAATATGTGGTCGCAATCATGAAAAAAAAGGGGTTGCAGAACCTATCATTACCTGGTGATTCAAAGCCTTCTTTTGAAGGTCGTGAGGTAGAAGAGGAGGCTCTGGGTACTTGTCCTCCAAATACTGCATAGCCACAAAGGAACAAGTGAGTCAAGCGATAACCAATACTGAGACAATAAACACAAAATCTCGATACTTGCCAATGCTATCGCGTAAGAGTCACCGATTACAGAATCGCCATCAACCAACGCAGGGACGAACTTCATAGGATTAAGCTTGACGAATTCTGCTTCTCATAAAGATCAACCCATTAGCGACTTTCCAACCAAGACTCCCTGCATAGCCTTATTGCAACCAGGTATGTTCTACAAAATCGTCTAGAACAATTTAATTAACACAGCCAAACCACACTCATAAGTGAAGGCGAGCAAAATGACATTTGCAATCGCAGGGGCTAGTTCAGGTACCTAATACTCGGTGTTCAAGCAATTGTAGCATAAGGTAGTAGGTAGCACAAGTAGTAGTACCAACACAACACACCTGGATCAGACTGCTCGCCCTTGAGAAGGTTCACCGCCTTGTACTCGTAATCCACACCTGCAGAAAGAAACAGCACGCACATCGAATCAACCCAACCGAATGCCCCCAATCCGTTCGGGCCGAGTCCGATTAAGCGGTGGCCGAGCACGAGCAGCACGCACCTTTGAGACTGAGAGCGATGCGGGCGCGGTGGGAGCACGTGCTGCGCCAGTACGAGTACAGCCTCAGTCGCCCCGCCGTCGCCTCCGCCTCCGCCTCCGCCTCCGCCATTTGCAGATTGCGCTGACAAACTGACGATTGCCTAGCTGCTTCGCTGAACCGTAGTCCGAGAGCGAGAGCGACGGAAGAAGAGGAACCGCAACCGGCAAGCGAAGTGGAACACGGAAGGCAACTCAAATGGGCTCGTTTGCAGCAGATGCGGCCCATGATTTGCTGAGAAAAAAACCGGCCCAATCTCGTCACGTCCGTCAAGCCAATCCTGATCAGCCAGGTGGGCCCATGCCTTCTCAAGTGGGAAAAAATCCGTATTACCTCCCTCAACTTTGGCTGAAAGTCAACTTTTCCTCCCTAAATTGTAAAACCGAGTAAACCACCTCACTAAACTTTTAAAACCGTTCGTTTTACCTCTTATAAGCTGTTGTCAAAGACGGTTTTGTCTTTTTTATTTATTTTGGCTGAATCTTTGAAAAATCATAGTAAATCACAGAAAAATCATAAATAGAAAATCCAATTTTGTTGGACTCCACATGTGTAGATCTACACAGTAAACATATAGTATGGTATGCTTTAGTATAATTTTTTTTGTTGTAGCTTTAGATCTATGCTTTTCTATAATTAATTCATAGCTGCAGTTCTATGGTCCAATTATGGTGAAATTTTTATGATGGACTAATTATTTTATGCTTGAATTGCAGTAAAAATTTCATACTCATTGAATCATGTATAACTTAGTTATAGATTTATTTAGGTCTATACTTGTTAAAAAATATTTATAAATCAATAACTAAGTTATACATGATCCAATGAGTATGAAATTTTTACTACAGTTCAAGTATACAATAATTAGCTCATCATAAAAATTTCACCACAATCGGATCATAGAAGCTACAACTATGAATTAATTATAGAAAAAGTATAGAACTAAAGTTATAGCAAAAAATTTGTACTAAAGTATACCATATTATATGTTTATTGTGTAGATCTACTTATGTGGAGTCCAACAAAACTATATCTTTTATTTTATAATTTCTCTATGATTTACTATGATTTTTCAAAGATTTAGTCGAAATAAATAAAAAAGAAAAAGACAAAATCACCTTTGTAAACAACCGATCAGGGAGGTAAAACGAACGGATTTAAAAGTTTACGGAGGTGGTTTGACTAAATCTATTTCAAATTATAATTCATTTGACTTTTTTAACCCTAAGTTTGACCACTTGTCTTATTTAAAATTTTGTGCAAAATATCACTTCTTTTTGTTGTGGCTTGCTTTATTAATAAAAGTTCTCGAGAATGACTTAAATTTAACAAAAATTCTAACACATGATTAACCAAATATGTTTTTAGGCCCCGTGGAATCAATACCTGTGCACCGAACAAGGTCTCCCTTTGCCTGCTGGACCGAGTGGAAGGTGTATATCGTGGGGTTTTGAGGCCACGAAGGTTATATGGAGCTTGGCACAATCTATTAGTAATTTTTTGTTCTCATCTTGAAACAGTTTTGGGATTACTGGAAGATGGTTGTACCAACAGGCAGACACATTTGTAATAACCAATGATCAAATATAATAGATTGATTTAGATTTACCATATTTTTCAAATATGTACTGATAGGTTGTTTGCCAAGTTTGATGAATGACAGTTTAATACATGGTACCCTAGATTTTGCCGTAGCGTTAGCATGGGCAATATACTAGTCTGGATAAGAGGCAAGTTAGGGTTAGCTTTGGGCTGACTCGAAGTGGACTTGTGTGCTGGGCTGAGTCGAGTTGGGCTCTTGGCCAGCCAATTGTCTTAGCTCGTTTGGCTTGTGAGCAGCTCACAAGCCAGTTTGAGCTTACTCATTATCTCTAACGAGCTAAAATTTCAATTTGGCTCGCTAAAAAATACAACGAGCCGAGTCGAGTCGAGCCGAGTTAATCACGAGTTGAGCGAGCTAACGAGTTACGAGTTTTTCGTCCAGCCTTACGACGAGCACCTCGTGGTTTCCGCTTTTTCCAAATTGCCCCTCTGACGTCCTCGCCAAGCGTCGCTCCGTCGGCGGCATCGCCGAGCGCCTCGCCGCTCCGTCGCCATCCTCGCCGAGCGCCGCGCTGCTCTGCCGCCGTCCTCGCCGAGCAGCGTCCTCGCTAAGCACTGTGCCGTCGCCGTCCCTCACCGAGCGTCATGTCGTCGCCGTCCAGGAAGCTACCAGCCGGCCTGCAGCGTTTCCACCTCGCCCACCTTCTGCACGTCTTCCGCCAGTGCAGAGCTTGACCTCGGCAAGCTGGCTGCTGTTCCAGGAGCTTTTCCCATATCTAATGCTCTAACTGCAGAGCTTACGTGTAAAGTGCAATTTGTGCAAGAGCTAGCAAGACTGTAACTTATGATTGTATCCAAAGCAGCAAAATCACGCAAATTGTATAAATTGCCATTGATGGCCATGTATGGTGCAGACATTTCTTCCATCGGCATAGAAGTACCAGGATAAATATTTTGCACTACTGCAGTGTCTTGTACTGCTGCTTCTTTTTCCTTTTTCTTATCTCCCTTCTTTGTAGTTTCTTTTTCCTTCAAATAAAAGAAATAAAACTGAACATGTTTCCATTGAACATACTGAAAGAGAATCAAATATATTTTATGTTATCATATACCTTTGAACAATTTTTCTTTTTCTTACCTCCCTTCTTTGCAACTTTGCGTCTCTTGTCAAGCCAAGTTCTTTTATGCTTTGAGGTTTTAGTTTTCACCTCCTTTTTCTTTAGGCTTGATGTGCTCATCAAATCAATTTGTTTTGGCACTTAAGACACCATAGAGGGTGTAAGTGCATTTAGGATCGATATTCGTACTATAAAGAGGGGAAATCATTGGCTAAACGGTTATCAAGTGCTACTAGGTGATAGATTCTTGCATATGCATTTAGGAATCTAGTGTGCTAACTTTGACCCTTGTAAAATGCTAACACACGTGCACACAAGTTTTACATTTTGTGGTTAGCAAATTGAAAGCAAGGGCGAAGTGGTTGTGGACTTAGAAAATGAAAAGAAGGTGCGCGACTGGATGCTGGCACCGGGGTGACCGGACTCACCCCGGGCACGTCCGGTCAATTATAGTTATAGGTGGGCTGACTGTGTTGGCCGAGAGCGCAGGAGGACGATCGGACGCAGTGACCTGACGCAGAGGGCGCGTCCGGTCACGTTATCCAGAGGAGGCGCGGTGCGGCCCGACGATCGAACGCAGGAACCAACTTGTGACCGGACGCGTAGGGCCTACGTCAGGTCAAGGCGTGGCATATGCTGGCGTCAGCGTTGCAGTGTGATCAGAGAGACGAAGTGAGGACCGGACGCTGGGGTGCATTAGGTCACCCGGGACCTGACATGTCCGGTTGTGATTTCAATGCTCTGGATCGTCTCTGAAAACGATCGGACGCCACGTGGTTGTGCGTCCGGTCATCTGAGCAGCGCGTCTGATCACGACTTAACTGATCACATGCTCGAGAAATAGCCGTTGGAGATGAACGACGCTGGTTCAAATAGGGGACACATGGCGAGAATTGGTGGACCAGATGCTGGGGCTGCTGCGTTTGGTCATGTTTGACCTGCATGTCCGGTCAGCACGATTTCCGTGCTGATAGGGAGCCAACGGCTCTATTCGTTGGGACTCCCTATTTAAAGTGTTTGGCCGGCTTGGGGCTCAGTCTCTTGGTACTTTAACATACTTAACATCCTTGTGAGCCTAGGCAAACACCTCCCACTCATCTCCATCATTGATTCATCATCATAATGAGATTGGGAGTGATTCTAAGTGCATTTGCTTGAGTGATTGCATCTAGTGGCACTTGGGGATCTTTGTGGCTACGGATTTTTTGTTTCTCTTGGTGATTGTCGTCACCTAGACGGCTTGGAGCAGCAGAGGAGCTTCAGCATGTGTTGGTGATTGTTCGTGGCCGGCTCCGGTGATTGTGAGGGGTCTTGCACCTTCCCCGACGAAGAGCTGCAAGGTAGCTCTAGTAAATTACTCGTGTCATTGAGTTACCTCACTTGTGGGTAGGTTCTTGAGGTGTCCAATTATGTGGACGAGGTTTGTGCAACACCTCTTAGCCACTGAACCACCAAGTTTGATCGACACAATGGGGACTAGCGTGTCAGCAAGTACGTGAACCTCGAGAGAAAAATCTTATGCCTCTTGCGTGATTGGATTTCTTCCGGTGATTGGTTATCTCCATATTATGATTGGTTCATTCTCGACACGATAGTATAATCATCCTACTTTTAGATCAAAGGCATTCACTCGGCTTTTATTGAAAGCTTAACGAAAGTCCAAGATCCTGCTGGGAAAACCAGCTTACAAATTAAGCACTAAACCCTTCAAAGAACTCTACCAACTACACAGCAAAAGATCTACCACCAGACCTCTAAACCAAAACATCAAGTTTGAAACCACCAACATTCGGACCAACATAAGCAGACAAAAGACAAACACTTGCCATAGCTACATTGCCACAGTGGCATTAGAAGCAACTAGATTTATCATATCGTTCGCCACAGGCTTCAGATTGGGCTTCAAAAGCGGACGCCAGGATTTCACCACCATCAACGTCTTGTAAATGATTGCCACCAGGGAAGTCATCGTCTTCTTGTTAAACACCACATCATTACGCGCCTTCCAGATAGTCCATAACGCACCTGCACATAGGAACAATGTTACCTGCTGTTTTTTCCCTCTAAGTTTTGTCAAGATCTCTAAAAATAGCGCCGAACAACTTGTTGGTGACAATGGCCAACTGAGACATTCACGAAAAAAGGACCACAAGAAAACAGCAATGGGGCATTGGAACAAAATATGGTCCGACATTTCAAGTCTATCACAGCTGAAATATTCCTTCGGTCCAGACCATTTCTTCTTCTTCAATTGGACCCCACACTGGATTCTATCATGTATGGCCATCCATAAGAAAATTTTAACCTTCAAAGGAATATTACATTTCCAGATAAGCATCATCTGCACATCTTGAACCCCTCCAGAGGTCATCAAGTTATAAAGTGATTTTGCTGAATATCGTTGAGATCTCT